CCTATGAAAGTGAATCTTTGATATCCGGTTTTCGTTGCAATGCGGTGAAACGGTGAGCGGAGTAGCCTGGACCTTTGGATTCCTGCAGAGACTACGTGTGTGCAACAAAAAGTGAGCAATTATGGAGTCAATCAATAAGGGAGGGATTCTTGTCCGCGACTGGGAATCGTCCATGCCGCCTACCAACACGGCGTGGTCACGGTGTGCGTCCTTGACTGGGAAAATGGCCGCGTGGGTGTGACGGATGATAGCATGGGGGAGGTCCCCATGTCTGTCGAGGAGGTTGGCGTCAGACAACCACGCATCCAGCAGTCCCCGCCTTCCTGTCTGCCCATGCCAGTGTCTGTACGCCCAATTCATGTGAGTAGCGACTAGCGTCGGTGGGTCGCCTCGCCAATGGCAGTACCGACACCCAGGTCTGTGGCAATGTGTTCTGTTTTTCTGACACAGTCTTTATATACGGTTGAGGGCGCCAGTGTTGGTAGCTTTCTCCCGTACACAACGACAACAACAGCAAGAAAAGCCCCACGTTTGTGTAATACGGGACCGGTGGTAAAAAGGGTTAAATGGTGGGTAATATCTGCGGAAAGAAAAAAATAATTGAAAAGGTAAAGCCTATAAAAGTAACAAACAATAGAAGTAATTATTTAAATAACCTAATGGGTGGCAGGCGATAATTGAAACGAGAAATACGACCAATGGGGAACGTGAACTTCGAAAATTGCGGAATTGTGTAAAGAATTGCAAATTTTCGAAATTAAAGTAACCATGAAAGGTCGGCTTTTTTTCTCATTTTTAAAACTATCAATAGCTTCTAATGCATTTGGACAGGTATACTAGAACGATAAGACGAAGAGCAACCGCACTTCGCTAATGAAACTAAAACTAAACTAAACTATACTGAACAAAAACTAAATTAATGTTAAGTAAACTGAAAACTGAAATAAAACTAAAGTAAAACGAAACAGAGCTAAACTAAATTAAACTAATAAAACTAAAATTAATCGCAGCAGCAGTAAATGCCGAATACGTACACAGGAAAACAGGCTTGCCACAACAAAATGAGACTTAATGTGTAGTAAAGTACGGTGTTACCGATAAGGATGTGTTACTCGCATTTTCCTAGAGTTTGGGATGCGTAACGCTCATCATCCGACGGCGTAGTTAACAAGATTACATGCCCTGAATATTCCTTCCATTACCCAGGCCAGTTAGGATGACGACATAGCTCTCGAATACTCGAGCACAAACAGGCCGTTGGGAGAGGTGACCCAAATCTTTGCCCACATACTGAAGAAAGGCCGTGAGTTCATTTTTGCGAGTACGCGGATGATGACAGTTCGACCATGGAGAAGGCGTAAAATCGATCATTGGAACAGGGACTTTATTCACCTGAAATTTTGGTTTCCTTATCGAAGCCGTTATCATTGGCAGAATTGGTCACGCGTACTTCATGCACAAGGTGCTGCAGTATTTGTTAGATGCACTCGCTGTGCTGCCGGATACCTACGACGATGATGGCTACCCTTTAGTGCGAAAATAAACTTTTGCCTAAGTTTATTTTATACAAAATTCCAGTAAGCACGGAACCGGCGAGACGCGCAGTACTTAGAAATAAAAGACGAGTGATCCATGTGCTCCTTCAAGATTGCCACACTTAGCTTCGAAAACACCGTCACAGGATCAGCCAAGCTGAGATTAGGTTTTCGAGTTCACGTTCGAGAGCGGTACAAAACTGCTTCACCATAGGGTGACTGAACGCGACCGCGAATGGAAAACGGTGAGCGACGCAGTACTAGGGAGCAAATTCCGTATGATGCCTGATACAACGTCATTTAAAATGACACTCTGGTTCCCAACTGGTCGTCAGAGGAACTGACAAAGGAGCAAGTGCATGTTTTACGATGCGAGGACTCATTTAACACAGCTGATGCCAACCTGTCAACATGATTGCGGCAATGAAATCGGTCCTCAGCCAGAAGGAGGCGACGGAGAAGACGAAGAACCTGATTCGACATCAGATGTCTTCTTTTCCTCTGACTCTTAGATCACATGAAATACTTCCAAATGTCGAATGTGGGGAACTAAGGGAATTCAAGACTAACAAAGCCATCATTATGGTACCCTCGGACAAATGACGTTCCACCGTCCTATTGGCCGAAACCGACTACTAATAGTAGAAGGGCTCTCATAGAGCGCGTTACGGGACATATTTATCCCGTTGTGTCTTCTG